AAAAAACAATAGATTTTTCTTTTAGATAATTTGATTGTTTGTTAAAATGTTCTATTTGGGAGCAATTCCTTCTGAGACGAAGGAATTGGCTTTGAGGGGCACTTTCCAACCAAGGTTTGTAATGGCAGCTAGATCTTTCGATAGCTGTGTTGACGCAGACTTTTTAAAAAAATGTTTTGGTGTGGATGGTTTTGTCTGTAATGAAGATGTTGAGGTCTAAAAAATTAATAGATTCCTTACTTGTTTCGTGGGTTAGGGTGGGTAGGGCCTCTATTATTGATGTTGAGGTGGTGGATAAAAGAGTTAAAAAGAGCTTCTGTGCCATCCCAGATAAAAAACAAATCGTCTATATATCTAAAATATGTTACAAGGTTCGTACACCAAGCGTGCCTTCCCCATATGGCCGTGGATTCCCAGTCGGCCATAAAGAGGTTGGCATAGCTTGGCGCGAACCTTGTACCCATCTTAGTGCCTTGTTTTTGTAGGTAAAAGGAGTCAAAAAAACAAAAATAGTTGTTGGTTAAAATGATATTAATACCTTCTAAAATAAAATCTATTTGGGCAGGGGGGATTCTATTTTCTTTAGTTAAAATTTCTCTGATTGCCTGGCATCCTATATGGTGGGGTATAATCGTGTATAGGGATTGGACATCACAAGTAGCTAAAATGTAATTAGTTTGCCATTTGAATCTGTCTAAAAAACGTAGTAGTAACATAGAGTCTTTTAGGTAAGAGCGCATTAATTTAACGGATGGTTGGAGGAGTATGTCAATGTATTCTGACAGATTGCAGAGTAGGGAATTTATCCCTGACACGATGGGTCTGCCAGGGGGGTTATTAATATTTTTATGTATCTTTGGTAAAAAGTATATGACAGGGAGTTTAGGGTATTTGATGTTAAGATAGTTGTATTCGTTTTTGGTTAGAATGCCAGAATCCAAGCCTTTTTGTAAAAAAGTGGATAGGGTGATTTGGATGGTAGGGGTGGGGTCAGAAGGTAGTTTGTTATATGTTTCTGTATCATGTAGTTGTCTATGTGCCTCATCTATGTACATCTTGCTAGATAGGATAACGATCCCACCTCCTTTATCTGCCGGCTTTATGACAATATCTTTGTCTTCTTGTAGTTGTTTCAGTGTGTTGCACTCGGCATGGGTGAGGTTGTGTGAGTCATATTTGTTATATTTAATTTTTTCAAAGTCTTTTAACACAAGTTTTTCGAACATGATGAGGGGTGCAGATTTGCAGTAGGAAGGGTAAAATTTAGATTTTTCTTTCAAATGAGTGTTGATGTTATTGGGGTTATTGATACTAGGCGTGGGGGGTGGAGAATTGGTTGTGGTGGGTAATTTGTCGTTAAAAAATCTCTTTAGTGTAGCTTTGCGAACAAATTTGTTGATGTCTAAAAAGGCTTCAAAAGATTTAAAAGGGTTAGTCGGTGCAAATTTCATACCTTTATTAAGGACGGATATTTGGGTGGCGGATAAGATTTTGTTGGACAGATTAAAAATACCGTTGTAGGAAGTGTTTGAAGGGTTTACGGTCTGTCTAGCCTTTCTCTTTTGTTATCTTTTATTTAATTTTATTTAATTTTATTTTAATTTTATCTATTATTTTCATTTAACATCTGTAATATATTATTACTCTGGGGTATAATATAACCCCTATTTAAATCATTATGTTTGGGATTATATTACCCCCTTTTCATGCATACTCCATTTACATATATCTCTGTATCTCTGTACCTTTAAACCATCTACTTATTGTTTTGTTTTTTTTATATATTTTTTTTTAATGAACTTTAATCAAACACCTTTTTTTTTTAACTTTAATCAAACAACTTTTTTTTTCTTTCTTTCTCTTTAACCCCTTAAGGACCAAACTTAATAAAAGGGAACATGACATGTCACACATCACCTTAAGGGGTTAAAAAACAACTTTCTCACCCTCGTTTTCACATTTAAATAATTTAAATGGACTCATCACCTTTATAACATCACTCCCATACTCTTGAATCCTAATTTTGAAAAGTGATTTTAAAAATTGTCTCTGATTGGCCAATTACACTTTTGGCGCAATTTTCAAATTAACATAGCCCTATTTAAACAACCCCTGCCAGGTTACTACTTTTATCCCATTCTGAAGAAGCCACTTATGGTGAAACGCGTTTATGGTTATTAATTCTGTATTTTACTGTGTATTTTAGATCAATAAAAGTTTTTTGGCTACTTTATTGTACCAATCCTCTTTTTATTGCACTCTTTATGCACTTTAAACAACTTTTTTTTACCTATTCCTGGCATTTTAACCTTTCCTGGTTACTTTTACTGCCACTGGCAATTTTAAAGTTCCAGTACTCCAAGAAATCCTAGGTGGGGATCATACCACCGGCGCCTATCCATAGAGCAGTACCTCTGCTCTATCTTTGTGAGTATTATTTTATTTTTTCTACTACTCTCTTAACCTATCACAATTGAGAGCACTATTGCTGCTTTTTATTCTTCTATATTGGAGCCTTGGATCACCAGACGGTGCTGACGGACGTATCGCCGCTACATATCCTATAAGTGGGGATTATACCGCTGTACGCTATCCACACCAGAGCTGGCCATAGCTCCCTCAAATGTGAGTTTTTTACCTCTTCTTATCTGCACATTGAACCACATCAAAATTGAGAGCACTATTGTTGCTTTCTGTCTTTCTTTTTCGAGCTCTGGACTACCAGACGGTGTTGACGGAGACCCCCTCCCTACATATCCCATAAGCGGGGATTATACCGCTGTACGCAATCCACACCAGAGCTGGCCATAGCTCTCTTGAATGTGAGTTCTTTACTTTTTGTTACCTATCACACCCTGAACTTTCATACTATACCATTAGTCGCCTCTACCTCTCTTGTATTTACATATACGGAACGGTCTACACCAGACGCATCCACAGAGGAACTCTATCAAGTATCCTAGACCATCTATTGGCACTCTAGCAATACTTTACTGGACTATCTACCCTTATTTGGCGCAGCCCTTCCATATCTTTTAGTACCTGGAAGAATACCTGGAATTGAGAGCGAGTCAGAGCGTCAGCGGCCGTGTTGTGGATACCTGGGATGTCAAAACAGTCTAAGTGTAACTGGACGGTTGCTGCCAGCCAGGTCAGCTTGCGAATCAGCCGCGTGATGGTAAGGGAGGATGAGCACCCCCTTGTTTATGATATCACAAGCTACCGAGTTGTCGGAATAGCATTTTACTGCCTTGCCGGACTAGAGACGACCCCAGGTGTGTGCAGCCACCACTATGGGGTAAATTAGGGCTGAAGTTTCCCTGAATCCTGGCAAGGCATCCGTCTCAGCAGGCCAGTGACCTCTGAACCAGTGATTACCGAATACAGCTGCGAAACCCGTGTTGACTGCAGTGTCTGTGTGAATGATCGGTGAGGAGTCGGAGAGAGGGGGGATAAACATGGAGATACCGTTCCACTCAGCCAAAAACTTTCCCCACATGAGTAGGTCAGCCTTGGTGTGCTTGTCCAATAAAATTGGGCAGGAATCTGGTACCCCGTGAAGCAGACAGAGAAGCCTGGATACGAATGACCTACCCTGTGGAATGATGCGCATCGAAAATTTAGGGACCCCAATAGGGACTGAAGTTCCCTTCTGGTGCATGCATCACTCCGCCAGAAAATGTCTATCTCCCCTCTCAAGCAGACCAATTTGTCGGGGGAAGGCTAGCTCGGAAGGTACCAGAGTCCAGCTTGATCCCCAAGAAGGTTAGTTTATTAGTGGGGCCGATGATTTTGGAGGGTGATAAGGGTACCCCGGGTGTGGAAAAAAGTGCTGAGGTGCTGAGGATATTAGTGGGTGTACGTGCGCCTGGTTCTATCAGTAGGAAGTCGTCCAAATAGTGAATGACTGAGTGACACCTGAGAACATTTAGAAGCAGCCAGCATAGTGTTTCTGCAAATATATCAAATGGTTTGGGGCTGATTCTAGACCCGAAAGTGAGTCGTTTGGAAAAATAGTATCTGTCTCGCCATTTAACATTGTGCAGATGCCAGAGTGATGGGTGCATGGGTAGTAATTTGAATGCATTTGTTATGTCCGTTTTGCTTAGCCAAGCGTTTCTACCAGTTGAAATGATGGATTGTATTGCATTGTCAATTTTAACGCACTGCAATGAAAATTCTTCTGCAGGTATGAGTGAGTTAATGCTGTGAACAAAAGAGGCATGCGGTGCTGATAAATCGATAATCAGACGGTTTTTATTAGAATATTTGTGCACAGCTATACTGTGGCGAAACCGACCTCGCCACTGGGCATTGGAGAAGACTGATTGCCAGCCTCCTGCCATGTGACTATGGCCCCTTTAAAGACATTATTTGGGAAAATTGTATTTTATTATGCTGCTGCTGGCCCTTTAAGAACCATCTGGGGACATACTGTGGAGTTACTGGGTGGCCACCATTTCCTGTATCAGAAGCACATGGTGAGAACAATGGATGGCGGCCATTTTAACTCACAGACACTGTTTGGACTTTTCTACACGGTACCATCTCGCCGGTATTTGGTGCACAGAGACATCGTTCAGTAGTTTTAAACTATACAGCAGGGGACACATTATAAAGTGATTGTTTTTCATTTAGCCTGTATATGTTCTGCAGAATCTGCATTAAACTGTATCTTCCAAACTACTGAACGGATCTGGGTGAATTTTGGATATGTGGTTCACCCAGATCCCCCGGTTCCAAGGATATACTTTATGGGGTTGTAAGAAATTGATATTCCAAACTGCAATATTGTAGCTAACGTTCTGTGCATGTGACTGGTTTCACATGTTGGGGTCATTTCCTTGATAACAGTGTGATAAGGATCAAAGCTTTCAGTTGCATTTTACAAACACCCAGCTAAGACAAAAGCTTACATCCCTCCAGTATTTCATGTATGTTATCAGGAGATCAGAGTAATAGACATCTAGGTGTAACCATGGAAGTGTGTGTTTTCCCGAGCCATCCAATCTACCCAGAAACCAACCCTAACTGGTCACTTCTTTCACAATGTTACAGTACGGCTGGAGGGAAGAGATCAAAGGGAAAGACAGAACTCTCTGGAGAAAGAGGGCGGGATAAACCACTTTTGGGAGGGAAAAATTATTTTGGGACTTGTAGTTTATCACAGCATGAATGAGTCTTTAAAAGGACAACATCCAAGGAAGGCTCTCGCTCTTTCTCTCTCTCTTTGGAGAGGACAACGCAGCAAGCAGGGCCATGGTGAACTGAGAGAGGCTGTCCCAGATTACCCAAGATGAAGGCACAAGGGGAAGACCTCCATTTAAATGTTTAAGTATTGCCCTTTTATTATGTAGCTTTTGGTTTTGGACTGGCTATGGTTATAATGTATATTGTGTATATCCTTTTAAAATCTAACAGTATTGTAACGGATCACCCGGCACCCCGACTGGGTACCTCCGTTGAAGGATGCTCCTAGCATTTCCTGAGGACTCCAAGCACTGCAGCAGACACCAAAACCACCGAACCGTAGGAGCATATGAATGCTCTCAAGCATATGAATGTTGTATACAGCTAAATAGGAAAAACCATGCAAATAGGTTTACACTCCTAGCAGTCAAACTGGAACAGCATACAATAAATCCTCCCCCAATAATGAGACGACACTTCACTTTGAGGGTTAAGCAGGAACTGACTGGCACATACAGCCTCTTTTATTCCCAATCCACAAATTTAGTACTGCCCACAGGGTTTTACAGAACAACCAATCAATCTGTACAATACACACAGACACTCCCACACAAAATCCTCCCCTCTGCCTGTAATACAATTACCTTACACAATGGGTAATCTAATTATCACAGACAGAGAAATACAGTTTCATAAAACACATCACAGGGACCCCAAAATATGCAATAACCCCATAAAAACCACTGCACGATGTCTCTGTGCACCAAATAGTGGCGAGATGGCACCGTGTTGAAAAGTCCAAACAGTGTCTCTGAGTTAAAATGGCCGCCATCCATTGTTCTCACCATGTGCTTCATCCATTGTTCTCACCATGTGCCTCTGATACAGGAAATGATGGCCACCCAGTAACTCCACAGTATGTCCCCAGATGGTTCTTAAAGGGCCAGCAGCAGCACAACACAAATCCCTTATGGCCAAATCATGTCTTTAAAGGGCAATACATCCCAGGGGCCATAGTCACATGGCAGGAGGCTGGCAATCAGTCTTCTCCAATGCCCAGTGGCGAGGTCGGTTTCGCCACAAGTATCCTTAAGTGAATATTTACAATACATTTTATTATACACTTGTGTTTGTGTCTTATTTGTTCCCTAAAAGAATATCCTTGTAAGAGGGTCATAATTTCTCACAGGGTTATTGTATGTTTTGGGGTCCCTGTGATGTGTTTTATGATACTATATTTTTCCTGCTTGTGATAATTATGTTAACCCATTGTGTGCCATAATTAGATCACAGGCAGAGGGGAGGATTTTGTGTATAATTGCTGGGAGTGTTTTCTGTAATGTATGTGTGTTATTGGTTGTTCTGTAAAACCCTGTGGGCAGTACTAAGTTTGTGGATTGGGAATAAAAGAGGCTGTATGTGCCAGTACAGTCAGTTCTACTTGACCTCAAAACGAAGTGTCGTCTCATTATTGGGGGAATTGGATTGTATACTGATTGCCAGGAGTGTAAGGTGATTGTATGCTTTTCCTGTTCAGCTGCTTACAGCATTCATATGCTTCTCCGGTTCGGTGGTTGTGGTGTCTGCTGCAGTGCTTGGAGTCCTCAGGAAGCACTAGGAGCATTCTTCAACGGAGGTACCCAGTCGGGGTGCCAAGTGATCCGTTACATATACCAATGGGATTAGTGCGCCAGGAGGAAAAATGTGAGGAGGTGAAGGGGCTGATCATGAAACCGTGTGAGATTTCAGAGGAAAGGAGAGTGTCTGTGGATACTGGGTCTTGGCAGGCTGACAAGAGGTTAGGACATTCAAGTGTGCCTGAGGGGATGGCTATGAGACCCGTGAGAAAACCCTGTGTGAACCCCGTGGTCAAATACTCCACCAAATGCCTGCTCGGATGAGGTCTCAAATAGAAAACCAGGTTGTCGACATTAATGTCGGTTAGTCACTTGTTAGGGGACAACCTGGCCGGGCACATGGTCTTCGTGTGTGCCCTGAAGCAGATAGAGCAGATGTGTAACAACCTACAGGCGCTGAAGCTGCAGGACCCGGCATTAAAATTGTTGCACACCTGCGCTTTGCCTAGGAAGGAAATGGGTCTACCCAGTTTATCCCGTTGACCACCCGCTTGTTTAATGTGAGGGGTGAAAGGGGTTTGAGGGGTAGGAGTGGAGGTGGATGGATCAACTTCAGAGGGGCACAAATCAGCGGTATGGGAAAGTGGTTTGAGGGGTAGGAGTGGAGGTGGATGGATCAGCTTCAGAGGGGCACAGATCAGCCGTATGGGATGTAGAATTACATACGGCACAAGACGGAGGCCTCAGGCCAGCAAAGTGGCAATAGAATAATTCAGTATCCATCTGACACCAGTTAATTCTAATATTAAACTGCTTCAGATGGGTTGCCGCCTTGTCTGATACTGTTATGGGCAAATGCAAATATTACAAGTTTTAGAATGAAATGTTGTATTTCTTAAACTGTGTACTTTGTCTTTAAGATATTTTGCAAACTGACAAGGTGTTAGAATGGAACATATTGTTTTTCATAACTGTTTCTTTAAGCAATAACAGTGCATAATATGTTTGCGCCATTTTGTCCCAGACGAATTACAATAACAATAATGCATAAACAAGCTTCAAGGCTATACTACGACACTTGCAGTACACAATATACTGTGGTAACCCCAAGTTAATGGAACTTCCCCAAATCCTGGAATCTCCCATGACTGTACACTTACGACTTAGTATAAACAACAGATAACCTATTCAGACTTTAAGATGCCATCTTGAACTAAGTCAGGAAAATTTCCATGACGTATACACCCTTTAGTTATGGCCTTGTATGTTTGCCAAGTTAAGGGAGGTCCTAAAATGAATAAAGTAAAAGAAGTGTTACTTTTTCATATATGAACTATGGTAACCCTAAAATGGAGACACCTAAGGTATAAATAGGTGTACTTTTAAATGTTAAGACATAGAGGAGAGACTTGGAGACAGACGCTGCTCCATCTTAAAATGACAGAGAGGCTGACATGATGACATGTTCAGAAGGGTATGTTAACCTATTAATGATATTTGCAAGCATGTAATTTAAATCTTATAAACTCTGCTATAATGGATTTTATGTTTTTATATAATAAATATCCAAAAAGACAAAACTATTGTTTCCAAGACAATCCTTATTTTATATTGTATTCTCAATTATTTCTATATGTTAAATAGAGGATCTCTTACACTATATAAAATTATGGCTAAGATATCTGTATGGTTAGCCCTACTAAGTTCTACGCTTTAAGACATTATAGTGGTAAATAAGGGAACCACACACGGTTACAATTGGCGACCACGAAGGGACTTTGTACTTGGAAGCTTTAAATATAAAATAAATACCTAGGTAACCTCTTATACGTAAGAGAAGACACAATACTTTGTCATGGCACAAGTCTTGAAATATCAAGAATCTATTGAGCTATTTGTAGCCCAGACTCAGAGAGAGATCTTCATTAGAGATGATTTTAATGTTTAGAAGGCACTGTGAGTTCAGGTGCCAGGTACAATGTAATTAGCATACAATGCTGAAACTGTGCATCTTAACTAATATCATAATAGAACAAATGCCTAATACCCCAGCATAGCATGGCCCATTAGTTCCAGGACAGTGGATTGCAGACAGGGGGATATGTTCTCTTTGTAGCTGCTTAGTATGCATGCGCAGGAAAAAGATTAATGCAAAATGTTGTCAAAAGAAAAGTGATAAGACAGAGCGATGAAATTTGAAGTCTAATTCCAAGAATGCAAAGAAAATTGCATTATGGCTTAATGAAAACATTCATGACACAGAAGCGACAGAGACAGTCCACTATATAAGAAAGGTTTTAGAAAACAGTGATATTTTCCATATTGTCAGTTACGCTAGCTGTTGATTGAAAATCAGGAATTATAACAGCATAACTATTTTTGGAGTCTGGAGTTTCCAGCCAAGGTTGCGGAGATACAGAGACATGTAAACATTCCAAGGAATTGAGAAGTCGTTGTTTTATATTCCAAATTATGAACAACATTATTACATACAGCCATAAAGAGAAAGACATGGCTTTTAAATACATTCGGTGCAGTACACTGCAGCATATATATTATATAATATATGCTAACTAGCTCATATTTTTTCCTAAACAGAGTTAAAATTATACTACCCTGATAGAAAAAAGTGCAACAGGTGGTTATACATCCTTTGCTTCTCTAAATCCTCTGCAAAAATAAATATTTATAAAATAATTAAAAATAATATATATATAAGATAAATCAGGGCAAAACAAAATTGTAACTATACAGGATCTCTGATAGCTTTAAACTGAAATTATTAAAGGCTTATTTAAATAAAATGTTAAATACATTTACAGCTTTAAATGTGACCAAAAGATACTAAATGATGTGTTAAGCAGCCAGCCCAATTCACTAGAATAGCATAAGTATTCTACAATTTAAAGTGCACAATTCCTGCACATAATGACTTTGCTTACTCAGGTACAGTCTTTAGTCTATTGCAATGGCAGTAAAGTCCACCAATTTTAAAAGGGAAAGCTTACTTAAATCATTGGTACTATCCCACCGTACTAGCAGTAAGGAAATTAGAACAATGATATTGTACTACTGACTGTAATCGGTCAGACACATGTAATCTCAGTGAATTTCATAAACTAGGTTTTCATAAAATATAAAATTAACCCCTTAAGACCGGAGGGCGTACAATTACGCCCTATTTTAGGCGGCTCTAAACGCCGCCGGGCGTAATTGTACGCCCTCTGGTCTTTCATTACTTACCCGGTTCCCAGGAACCCCCCCGCGGCACGTCCGACCCCCTGGAAGCCCCCCCTGCCATGTGAGAGTGGGGTCCTTGCGAGGACCCCACAATCACATGGCCAGTATTGCCAGCAGGGGGGCTGCCTGTAATGACAGGTGGTCCCCCTGCTGTAGGGAAATGAAATAAAATAAAATTAATTAAGTGTAAAAAAAAAATATATATATATACTTAGATCATATATATATTATATATATATGATCTAAGTATATATATACACATATACACACGTACACCGTCTAGGTTTATTTTACTATTAATATAT